ATGAGTTGTTGCGGGATGATGTATTACGGAACGAGTAAAGAGACTTACCGGTAACGAGATTGAACTAGGTATTGAGATACCGACGATCGAATCGCGGGCAAGTAACATACCGATGACAAAGGGAACAACGTATGTTGTTATGCGGTTTGACCGATAAAGATCTTCGTAGAATATGTGGGAGCCAATATGAGCATCCAGGTTCCGCTATTGGTTATTGACCGGAGACGTGTCTCGGTCATGTCTACATAGTTCTCGAACCCGTAGGGTCCGCACGCTTAAAGTTTGGTGACGATCAGTATTATGAGTTTATGTGTTTTGATGTACCGAAGGTAGTTCTGAGTCCCGGATGAGATCGGGGACATGACAAGGAGTCTCGAAATGGTCGAGACGTAAAGGTCGATATATTGAACGACTATATTCAGACATCGGAAAGGTTCCGAGTGATTCGGGTATTTTTCGGAGTACCGAAGAGTTACGGGAATTCGTCGGAGAGGTCAATGGGCCTTCATGGGCCTTAGTGGAAAGAGAAGGTGCGCCCCCTAGGCCCAAACCGAATTGGTTTATGGCTTTGGGGGCCGACCCCCTCTTTCCTTCTCCCCTACTCCTCTTTCCTTCCCCTCCTAGTTGGACTAGGAAAGGGGGAACCTACTCCTAGTAGGAGTAGGATTCCCCCCTTGTTGCGCATCCTATGAGGCCGCCGGCCCCCTCCCCTTGCTCCTTTATATACGGGGGCAGGGGGCACCCTAGGACACAACAATTGATCATTGATCTCTTAGCCGTGTGCGGTGCCCCCCTCCACCATAATCCACATCGATCATATCGTAGCGGTGCTTACGCGAAGCCCTGCGTCGGTAGCATCATCATCACCGTCACCACGCCGTTGTGCTGACGAAACTCTCCTGTGAAGATTTGCTAGATCGGAGCTCGCGGGACATCATCGAGTTGAACGTGTGCAGAACTCGGAGGTGCCGTGCGTTCGGTACTTGGATCGGTCGGATCGTGAAGACGTACGATTACATCAACCGCGTTGTGCTAACGCTTTCGCATTCGGTCTACGAGGGTACGTGGACACACTCTCCCCTCTCGTTTCTATGCATCACCATGATCCTGTGTGTGTGCGTAGGAATTTTTTTGAAATTACTGCGTTCCCCAACAATGTCAACATATATAGATGCCAACTAAGAGAAGTCAATGTATGATCAAGCTTGATGTTCCTTGCCCGACGGGTTTGTCATAGCCGTACAATGTCTTGTGTAGCTTTCATACCTTGTGCTCTTCTCCTTTTTCGATGTACCCTGGTGGTTGCTTCACATATAATTCTTTCTATAATTCACTAGTCAAAAACCCAGATTCCACATCCATGTGATGTAGCCTCCATGAATCTTGAACGGCGAGAGCTATAACTAGCCTCACTGATTCGATCTTTGCAACTGGATTAAACACTTATTCGAATGGAAAGTACTTGGTGGGCTCCTCTACTGGTGTATCTAACCGTGGCCTCATCTGGGTAGCCATAGGGAAGTACCCGGTTGTGCCGTCGAGGTCGGGCCTATGCCAACAAAATCCTTGTTTGAAGGTCTATGTTTAATTACGCTTTGACTAATTTTGCTCTTTGGTTCACATGATTTCTAAATGCGCGAACGGGAAAAAAACATAATAAAAAGAGATCATAGCATGAAATATGTATGGTCATTCATTTTGCACATAAAAAACATAGGATTATTACATGAGGTGGAGTGGATGGAATTTTTCTATGAAACCTAGTACAAACGAATCCTATGGATTGCAATCCAACAAATCAAACAACCCACATTGAAAAACTTACTAAGGATTAGAATTCTCCACAATTCCTTTGCAAATCATTTGAATCAAAGAGGCCATTGTTCGAGGAGGATAACATAAAATTTTCAAACTAAATGTGCATTATCTGATTATAATGGCTGGTACTCTAAGTGGTCAGGTGTACTTATATAGTTGCAATGGTTGGTGCTCTAAGAGAGCATTGTTCATCCTAGCGGGCACTACATTGCCTGTGTGTAACTCTAAGACAGGCAGACAGACGTGTATATTTCACCTCTTGTGGGCTTACACCCTTGCTTGGTTTAATACAACAAACCCAAAAATGTGGCAACCTAGTAATTGCTTTTGGAGCTTTGGCTCTACCAACTAATGGGATGCAAAATATTTTTTGGAACTGCAAAATCTTCTGAAAAACTACGTATGTAAAAACTGCAATATTGGGTAGAAAAAACTAATTTTAGTAGAAAATCAGAGTTTTGCAATCTGTGCAATACCAAAACATTAATGCTATAGTAGCACCGCTCTTTTTCCAAGACACTAATGGAAACTTTTTTTGACAAAATTTTGCAGTAGCACAGGTAATTCCCACACACACATATGTGAGAAATTATTTCAAATTATTTTAACTTTATGTTCTCAATGTTTTTAGAATAAGATATCTAGGTATCGGAACCAAAATTCCTCTAAAACATGACAATGAAAGTATTAATTCTATGGCAATCTTTCGCTCTTGCTCGACACAGATAATAGTGACCTAATTCATGATATAAACATTCTAGATATATATGTCAATTATATATGCATGATAAAAAACAAATTTTGGCACGCGTATATGGAGAAATCTCATTAAATCATCAGCGTTACTTACTGCAGACTGTTTTGTTAACACTATAGTTTTTTCAGTGCAACAATATATACTGAAGTTGGCCATGCCCCTGCGGTTTTTTGGAGGCTGGCCAGGAGAAAATTAGATAGACCAGGGAGATATATACTTAGTACAAATCTTATATGTGATTTGATTAGGCCTAGATATATACTGGTGTTCATACAGAAAAAAAGATCCATAAGTGCACCATGTTGATCAGCCTACATTATTTTGTTTATTAAACTTTCGTCTTGTATTCATATTAACTGAATGGAAAGTTGATGCTAGCAAAAGAGTACAGCTAATGGCTTGGCCGAGGTCCGCCGTGTATCGAGGATCTCTTGCCTCGCGATTGTAACCCTATACCTTTGGAATAAAACTCTTCTATCAGCGCAAAAAAAAAAGAGTACAGCTAATCTTCAAGTGGGCCAGTTATGAGCTGGTGCACTTCAAGATGCCATTAGCTGTTCATTTGAGTACCATTTTTGGTGATGTGAATGATTTATAGCCATCTTATATGGCTAATTTGTGGTCCAATGCAAGATATTGGACAATGACTTCTCAAGCGAGATGCACACACGCATGCAGCTAGTCGTGTCAAAAAGTGGGGATTCAGGCAAAGCCTTTGTCACATGAATATTTAATTGACAGCAACAGGGCAATGTCAATTTTGAAAACAATGTGAAATATAATACTAACATACTATCAGAAAAAAACAGTGTATTGTTATAGGTAAGTGGAAATAATCATATGTAAGTGGAAACTATAAAACTCTTTTGCACAAAATAAGCTCAACATATATACTAATAGGTATAAACTCAAAGAAGTGCCACACATAGAGGAAATTGCATGCAATTGAGATATGTGGAATAGTGCATACTCACACATGCATATATATTTTCCTGACTATATAGTGACTCCAGCGTTCTGTATTTTTTTTACCATGAGTTAAGCTAGATGTTCGGTGTATAAGTATCAGATGAGAAGACATGCAGCCTAATTACTTTCCTTTGTGTGAACTGAAACATGCAAAAGAAGCAATATCAAGCCTTTGAGATTCGTATCCCCCATAAAGAAAGCACGCATGGAACGCATGCATGTGTCTGAAGACAACTAAGAACACGGCAAAAAAAGAAGCAAACAGAGAAGACCAGCATCAAGTACACACACGGAATACTCCGGTGGCACCTAAAAAGGAACAGGTATAAGTTGGTAGTTGAGAGAGAGAGAAGATGATTTCAAAGGGAACTCAAAAAACAAAGGGAGGCACTTTAATCAAAAGATGCTAGCCGCCGATGGAGAGAATGTCTTAGGTCCCTTTGTCTACAAGTTATGTCTTCTCCAGCTCAAAGATTATCAAACCCCTATCTTCCATAGATTGTGGATCCCACTTTCTCAAGTTTGGGAGGAGCTTGGAAAATAAACACTCCACCATACAACCTAAGCATAACCACCCCTCAAGCACCCTAATCACAGGGCAAAAGGCAGCTAGCTATATATCTAGCTAGAGCATCATCCAGCTATGCATGGTTGCACGTGCAGGGAACTACCTTTTGATTCTAGAGCAATCAACATATGAGTCTAGCTAGCTCAACAGCAATATACAATCTGTCACATGCATCAGGATGGAAGGAAACATTGCTATGCTTTCATGCATGGAACTGCATGTGTAGGCATGCATGGTAAAGTTCCCCTAATTAATTACCCTGTTCACCAATCAAAATTCACAGATAGACCTACAAGAGAGAAAGTAACAGAAAGGGAAGAGTACAGACATGCCTCATAACCTACACATCTATAGCTTCAAGATGTATAGCACCCACATGACATGGTATCATATCATATATGTGTTTGTAGTTCAATCAAGAACATATTATGCATGGATCAATTTGCTAATTAACCCAACAACACTGCACTAGTATAGACATATGTAAATCCATATCGATCGATTATCTCTTTATATGTTACAATTAATTACCTTTGTATTTTCCTTGGTGTGGTTCCAATGTGTCCCCAACCTATACAAATGCATACTACACCCAATCTTTTCTCACCTACTAATAATTCACCCTGCCAGCAGCTCAACATATATACTCCACCAGTCTTCCCTCCACCTCCACCGTACCTAACTCTCCCCTGCCGGCCGGTGATCCTCTATATTGATCATGCGCGATCGATGCATTGACCAATCTCATGTCACATGAACAAGAGATCCACCGATCGATATCATGGAACCCTATGATTTCGATCGACGGTGCAGGAAGAAGTAATAATTTAGAATTACTCGATCGACCGGAGGATGCATGATGATGATGACGATGATGGACTGGATGGATCATTGGCAGGAGAAGAGGTCGGCGAGGCCCTGCATGAGCTGCACCTGCGCGCGGAGGCAGCGGACGTAGTCGGCGGTCTCCTCCAGCAGGCTGCAGTACTCCATCCCGGCGCCGCCGGGGACGAGCCGCCGCAGCGCGTCGCTCCTCGCCGGCTCCCCCGCCTGCCGCGCCGGAGGGGCCGGAGGGACCAGCGCCGCACGAGCAGCCGCCGACGATGGCTGCCCGACAACAGGAGCGAGGGCGACGCTTGCTGGTGCTGCCGCTGCCGGTCCGGCGACGACGCGCCTCCGGACGAGCACCGCGGCCCGCCTCGACGTCTCCGCCCTGGATCTGCGCGCGCGCGCCTGGGCCTGGAGCAGCAGTGCGCGGCTCCATGCGCGGCGGGGCCCGGTGGCCCGCGCCATGGAGGAGTAGGCAGCGCGGCGGATGGTGCGCGTGCGGCGCCTCGCCGGGCCGGCCGCGCCGTGGATCCGGGACAGCGCGCGCAGGAAGTGGAACGCCAGCATGCGCTTCGTCGGCGCCGACGCCGACGCCACGGCGGCCGATGGTACGCTGGCAACGACGTGGTTAGGGTTTGAGCTCTCCGTCGCGCCCTTGGCGTCCATCAAACGACGCGTCCACCCAAAATCCTCTCCTCACCTCAACTGACCACACCTCGCAGAGCGAGAGAAGGAGGAGGAGGAGGAGAGGGCGACGAGAGAAAGAGAGAGGAAAGGCGGGAGGCGTACGCGGAGGGCGCGGGCGCGTGGCTTAAAAGGCAGGAGGGGCGCTCGTGGGGGAGGAGATTGGGTGGGGGAGAGAGAGAGGAAGAAGAAGGTGAGGAAGATTTGGTGTCTGACACAAAGCGGGGAGAGCAACGGGGCCGGGCTGCCGCTGCTGCCTTTGTGCTGTTGTGATGGTGGAGAGAGAGCCCGAGAAACACGGCTCTGACACAAAATGTCCTGGGAGGATCCGGTGCGTGTCTTATAATACCCAGTTGACAACCAGGGACAAAGCCAATGAGTGTGTGCACATTTCTCAAAGAAATGGAAGAAATAATTGGCGTACATGCATGTGTAGAGAGAGGGAGAGAGAGGGGTGCATGTGATTGAGTCGAGTGTGGTGGTTACCAGGAAAGCTAGATTAATTTGCAGTAGGCACAGGGCAGGGCAGGGAATGCTATGAAGAAGAGCCAGTGAACAACTCTCCTAGAGGGCGAGCGGCGAGCCCATGCATGTGATGCGTGAGCTAAATGGGTGCGTCGTGCGGGATATGGCGGGATACAGGAACAACTCCGGTCGGACGGCGGTCGGAGGCGCATGTGACCTCCATCAGCTCGCATGCATGCGTCTGCTCCGGATGGGCAGGTAACTAATGCCTTGGTGCATGCATCGGCAGCAACTAACCAGGCCGGACGCCAATTAATATCGTGAAGCAAGAGATGAACCTCCGCCGATGCAAATCAACGAGGGAGCAAGGTGAGCTAACCATGTGCAGGCTCCTTTTTTTGTCTGGTGAAAGGACCGTAGGCCATACATTAGATCAAAAAAATTCCGTACAAATATAAGAAATTACACGTAAGTTCTTAAATAAGTCAGCACCCTCTTCCCTTTGCATCCGTCGGCGGTGCACCATGAGCAAACCTGGTTGCCGTCTCTAGGTCTTCGTCTTAGCAGAGCAATCTTGTTGAAACGCAGGAGCTGGAAGAAGCAACGGCCAAGAAGCAGGGACATACTTAGAGAGAAAATGACCCGGTGTCCCAATGTTAAAACAACTCATATTTTTCATCTAAAGATAGGGTGTCACAAACTAAACTTAAAGTGAAAATTACAACGACAAAGATGCCCTGTGCACCCGGGTACCCTGCGGAGAGTCATCGATGTAGACAAAACGGCGTCGGTGATCATGATGTGGACAAATCACCATAATAGAGAAGCTGAAACCGAGGAGGCATGAAAGATAGTCCCACCTCTTGCCAGACAGAGGAGGAAGACACAAACCTCGCACCCTTCATCATAAGGAGGAGGAATGGGAGAAAAATGCATGAAGACATCATTCCCTTTGTAGGGCAATGCCGATGACCTAGTCAAAACGAAGCCAAAACGAGGCCCCATATCTTGCCCTAACTAATGATTCACATGTTCTCCATCAATGCAAAATGTCATCGTCGGAATGAGGACGAGAGAGGAAAACCTTATCCCCCATTGCCGATAAGGCAATCGCCTCACTACCACCATCATCAACACACTTAAAGTTAACCCTAACTAAAGTTAGGGCAACCAGAAACTACAAGACGACCCAGATCGGGGTACCTCACCTTGCCGCCACCGAAACACACCCAAAGGCGAGGGGAAACCGGCAGCAGCCTAAGGAGGAACCCTAGTCACATGTGTTCTCATGTGAGGAGGGCATACCTGTTAGGTTCATGAGATTGACTCGCGCATTGTGCATGTTGTGTTTGTATGTGTCATGTACATAAAGGACTATCAACACTTGTCGGAGTTATATTTTTTCATGTGAAATATTTCATGAAACTTGTAAATCCCAATATTATCCCCTACTTGTGATATTGTGACTGTTTTCATCCAAATTTTAAAAAAAATCTTGCCACATGTTACCCACTGGCTTGTGACATCGACAATCTTAACCGATTTTTTTTTGTAGGTAACTCATTTGTTATTTCTACCAACTAAAAGCTTGACCTGCTAGTTAAAACCGACATGGCAACTAACTGGATGGACTTCTCAGACGCGTGCTCATTTAGAGTCATACCAAATCATGTGAAATTCTACGAAATCATGTCGATGTCGCAACTAACGGTAGCGGGGCCACGTCGTCACAAAATTCCAGTTATATATAAAGGGCATGTAAAAGGTGAAAAACAAAATAACATGGCGAAGATCGTCTCCCTACCTTATCCTTTGCCTTTTGGTCGTGGAAACTGGTGTACTTGGCCGTCACTTTTCCGTTTCAGCACCAGCGGCACGTTGCCATCGGCATCATCGTCGTCGCATCAGAAAAGGCATTAACCAACCCGTTAATTAAACCGCCGATCCGGCCGGCCGGCCGGAGCCGCATGCGTGTAAGCAAAGTAAACGATCATGTTCATAATGATGATATATGTATGAACGTCTGCGTCTGTACCGTATTTAATAAAGCCATGGATTGAGTAACAGGATGCCTTCCAAACTCCCGTCTCCAACATGGCAACATGCAGCAGCTAGCTAACACGCACCGTATACGCGCATACGTGCGTATATCATCGGCACTAATGTCTAATGACCGTCCGACGTAGAGTATGTATGCATGATCAGTGGATGGCATCACCAAATCTTCCTTGTCGAGGAGCTGCCTGCACTGCGCTGCACTGCACATGTCGCGTGCACTTTGGTGCGTGCGGCGGATGGATATGTAGATAGCTAATGGCTAAAGCTAGGCTAGGCTACGGTGTAGGGGTAACATGGGACGGGATGGGAGCCGCGATTCGTTTCGTCTCCGTTGGTCGCAACGCAACGCAACGGCGCCTTCACAGCCGGCCCCGACGAGACGTCAGGAGAGAGAAACATGGACGGGAATCAAGTTGGGGGTGATGGCGGTGGCGTACGTGCGTGCGTGGTGGGTGGTGGGGCCAGGTGCCGCGAACCACCACATGAGCGCACATGGGGGTGGCCTGCCCCACGGCTCGGCTGGAGGCGATATATTTTTCGGTCTAGACCGGAGAGAGAGAAAACGCTGCGAATTTCGTGGCCACCGCCCGATCGACTGCACCGTATTCTCTTTCGTCTCCACACAAGTACGCGTACGTGCGTCGCACAGCCGCCCGCTCATCGTGGTCGCGCTCATAAATTCCGCCCCTTTTCGTCTCTCGTCACCCGGCCGGCCGGTCAAGATTCGATCGGTTCCCAATCGTTTGGTGGTGCCGATTAGGCGTCAGACTAGACAGAGATGGGAGGCGTATTTCGTTTGACCTACAGCTACGCATGTGTAGTTATTCAAGTGTGGTGCTGTTAGGGTTGACGCGTACGCGCAGCCGTCGTACGTATTGCATTATTACTTTTCATTTTTTTTTGCTTGGACTTTGGAGAGAGCTAGCGCACATGCGCGTGAGACGGACGACGCACATTGATTAGCAAGCTGCTAATATGATCAATCGATCCACAATCCGGTGCACCGTTTGGTCGGACGTCTAAACCGAGCCCAGCTGTCAGCCTCGGCGCCCCACGAGCGCCTGCTTGCGACCGGCCGACCGATGGTTAAGACTTGCTAATCACATATCACTGCTTGTGACCGGCCGATCGATGGTTAAGACTTGCTAATCACATATGAGCACAGCTCCGGACAGAACGGTGTAGAGGGAAGGTGAGAGGTCGATCATGCATGCATCCGTACGTGCATGCAATGCAAGAAAGAAAACAAAGAGGGACACGGCATGAGCGTTGCACAGTTGCACTTGCACCCCGGCACCGGCAGGCGGCAGCTCTATCCAACTATCCATCGACGTAGCTAGGTAGCCACCCGTACTTGGGACTGTTAACCTGTTCCCATCGACGGGATAAGAGCTCGCATGTGTGCGTGCGTGCGACGCTGTATGGCGACGCCCAACCTTTCCGTATGAGACATGAACAATCATGTATCCGGTCACTGCTTGCTTTATAGTACTATACATGGGACGTACCTGCTATATGTGACGTGCAATCTTGATCGCCGAGCATCTCCAACAGTGGCCGCAAAAAACTGGCGCATGCAGTAGAATGAGATCTTACCACGCGCGGAACGGTTTCGCGCGTTTCAGCGGAGGCGGGAAAATCAGGCGCGTGGGAAAAAGCGGGCGGACGCGTGCTAGATTTGGCGCGCCGCTTCCGGCGCGCCTATAAAATGCAGTGCCTGCCACGCGACGTTCCATCGCTATCCACATCGTCACGTGCAGGGCCGTCTCCAGAAATTTGAGGCCCCGGTGCGATATACAAAATGGACCCCTAAATTTCGGAACCTGATAGAAACATTATAGTTGCACTTAATTATTTAACTTAGTTTTATTTCGATCATGTTTAGAAATATACCGAGTATTAGTGCAAAATAAAATAGATTGTACTAAATCGATAGTAATATTCTACGGATCAGCAGCATCAATATTTATGAAAATATCTACTTCCTCCGTCTGAAAAAGCTTGTCCCTCAAAGTGATGTATCTCGCACCAAGTTGATGATAGATACATCCATTTGAGAAAAGTTTGGGACAAGTTTTTTCGGACGGAGGGAGTAGTGTTTTTTAAATATATTTATTTAGTACAATGGCTCGACGAGCTAAAGTATATGATAAATTGATGAAAATATCTAGTGTTTTTGTAACTAGTGATATCATAGAGACGCCATAATGCGGAAATAATTCTGAAACTGAAAAACAAGACCACATCCCAGTTTAGGCTTAGCGTGGAATACTAACAATAAAAGTAATCCATGTACTTAGTAGGAGGGCAGCAGAAAGTTACCTACTACTCCCTCCGTTCTGAATTACTTGTCTTGGATTTGTCTAGATACGGAGGTATCTAGCACTAAAATGAGCCTAGATACATCCGTATCTAGACAAATCCAAGACAAGTAATTCGGAACGGAGGGAGTACCAATC